AAACACCTACACTTTTTTGAGAATACGAAGCTGACTAAAACTACAGTTGAAAGAAATCCTATGAACGATTGAGGAGTTTTAATCCAAGTACATAGAACGCCTTGTGAAGTTCAGATAAAGTTTAGTATTTACACCGATTAGATACGGTTTTTGCACGCATTAATCTTTTTTAGTTTCTAATGGCTCAGCTTGAATTTTCCTTCAAAAATCAGCTGGCATTCTTCTGACGCAATTGTTTCTGGCTCTATAATATCAAAATCGCATGCTAAAAATGACTCTTTGCCAAGCTTGTAAAATCGACATATCGGAGCTTTTTATAAATTATAAGAATAAGTCAAACCGTCCAAAAACTCGATCTGTATCCCAATTTTAAGATGAGCAACATGATTTGGCTACAAGGCTTTGGAGTAAAATAGTAAAATTTCACGAAGTGAACTAAGTTATCGTAAATATCAGTAATTCATTTATGTTCATAATTTAGAAAAGATTTTTGAGTTTGGTTTTCGTTATTGAGACTTTTCTTTCCTCAAATTTTTTTTTAATCTGCGTTTGACACTATTTCTATTTTATTGAGAAACAGCTGAAAAAAAGCTCTACCTTTGTCTCGCCACGACTTCTCTTGTAGAGAATAAGCAGCACAACAATGAGTCCAACGATAGCTAGGGACATAAGACAGAGTCCGATCCATGGTAATGAATTGGAATGCGGCGCTGGTGGAGCTAGTGAGGTGCCACTTCCTTCGAACGCTGCCCAGCCTTGGTCTGTAAGAGAAAAGAAACTTTTTAGAGCAGTTTTTTTTGCTTCACTGTTTAATAGAGTTGAATTTGTGATTATGGAAACAGAAAGAATTTGATTGCAGCGTTTAGCGCCCTCCACGTTCCTAAGCCTTAGAGAGTAGATTCTTTATAAGTAACAAGTTTGATTCTTAATATAGCAAATTATAAAGTATATGACAAAATAAACACTTTGCATTAATTTTTGTAAAGGATAAATTGATTTGTAGCGTGTTTTCTCGTAGCCGATATTTCGATTCAAGTATACGAATTTTTCATATTGCCATTTCAATCATGAACAACTTTACAAGAAAGATAAAAGTAGATTAGAAAGGCACACAGCGAGGAAATGCAGTTAGTAGTATTATAGGTCTAACAATTTGCCAAAGAACCGCTGTGCGAGGGAACGGTGCGGATGACGTCAAACTCTTGATAGAAAAGCTGCAATTCAAATGCATACCTGTATAGGCTATTCTCTGGTAAAATTTACCTTTACAAAGTGGGCAACAATGCCCCTCTATCGGTACAGGCTCAACACACTGTGGACACACTAGTTGGCGACATACGGTGCGACCACCTGGCTGACAAGAACAATTTGTACATGTGTCTTGACGCCATTCTTCGCCCACACTATAGACGGATGCATCAAAAGAGCAAACTGCGGCCGAAAGTGCATCTGGAATTCGGGACAATAAGATGGTCCATATCTTTCCAACAAGGTTCGCCACTACCTTCGCAGACGGGACAGCAACGTCCTTTGATCGTTAGCGGCTTCCCACTGCATGCAATGTCCTCATCGCATTGTTGTCGATAGCAGATCACTTTTGCCTCAGTGGTACATTCGCATGAAGTGCAGTCATCAGTTCGCCATGAGGCTCCTAGAATCCAAATTGAACAAATAAATGAGTAGATATGAATCACCAGGTTCACAGTGATCTCCAAATTCTCTAAATTTTGACATTGTAGAGTAACTTGTTTTCAGAGGGGCAGAGCCCTTCTTATACTATTTCTTCCTTTGACACAAAGTTTTTAGACGATGTATGTTACGCAGTTTATCGAAAAGGATATTTTCAAAGTTTCTGACTAGTTTACGATCAGGACGGGCGCAGAATTAAATTGCATAACAATTGCTTCTCAACTTTGATAAGCTGCTGTTCCACAACTGGAAAAATGCTGGTCAGCCAGAGTTCCATGCTTGAAGAAGATCGTAGCTAAGCTTTTGCCAAAATCTTAGATTAGTTAGTGGATCCGTATAAATACCGTACTTGGTAACTCTTTTTTAGTTATTTCACCCTCCTTCCTTGATACTAAAGGTAACTAAACAGACACACTAACAAACAGGAACTTCTGAGTCCTTAAATTTCAACATCAATACAACTTAGGAAGAAGACTTCAGTTTATAGAAACAAGCACTTACAGAACAACACATCACGTTAGATTTGATC